CCAGGTTGCCGAGGCGGGTCTCGAACCCGCGGGCTCAGGCAATCCACTCACCTTAGCCTCCCAAAGGCGTGGGATTACAGGCTGAGCCACCGAGCCCAGCTTAATTTTTTTTTATTTACTGTAGAGATGAGGTCTCTCCATGTTCTCCAGGCTGGTCTCAAACCCCTGGGCCCAGGCAATCCTCTCACCTCAGCCTCCCAAAGTGCTGGGATTATAGGCGTGAGCCACCGCATTGGCACCCCACCCTTTTCTTTAGGGAAGGGGTTAGGGTCTTCTCCTGTCCTGTGGATCCACTGACTTCTAACCTTTCCTTCTCCAGGCTGTGCTAAGACCTTGTACCACTCGGTCCACGAAAAGATCTTCACGCTTCCAGGCGACTGTCTGATTTACCCTGCTCATGATTACCATGGTGAGGGCCTCCTGGAGGAGGTGTGACGCTTACCTAACTTTTGAAAAGGAACAGCAAAACACCTGTAATTCTTGTGGGGCATGAGACTGCAATTCCCAGAAACTCCTCTGGCCCAAGAGGTCAAGTGCCTGAATGTGCTGTGTGTGGATGGAGAGACTGCAGACTCTTAGAATTTTGCAGGGCGCAGGTTTTTCTGGCACTTTCTTGCAGAGCTTTGGGAACTGTGGGAAACTGCATTCCTGTGGTGTCCCATGGAGGAGGGAAAGCACCCCAGAAACATTCTGGAGGAGCCTGTCAGGCCAGAGACACACCCCAAGGCCTCCTGAGAAATGTAGTTCTGGGAGGCCCAAGGGACCGGACCCACTGACTTATCCTCCCCTCCCATGGGCACTAGGGCTCACCGTCTCCACTGTGGAGGAGGAGAGGACTCTGAACCCTCGGCTCACCCTCAGTTGTGAAGAGTTTGTTAAAGTCATGGACAACTTGAACTTGCCCAAACCTCGGCAGATAGGTAAGTGGCTGGGGGCCTGGACTCCCAGGTCTGAGGGAGGAGGAACTGGGGGCCTTAGACTCCTGGGACTGAGGGAGGAGGGGCCTGGGGACCAGGACCCCTGGGTGTGAGGGAGGAGGGGCTGCGGCCTGGTCTGGGGTTTGAAGGAAGGAGTGGGCTCAGGGCCAGAACTCTAGTTTCCCAAAGAAGGGCTTCTAGGATTTCTGGGTCCCCAGTGGGACGGGGGCATCTGCTTCGGCCCCTCAGTTTCAACCTTAGTGTCTTCCTTTCAGATGTTGCCGTTCCAGCCAACATGCGCTGTGGGGTCCAGACTCCCCCTTCCTGACCCGTTTCTGTCAGGTGCTCACATCCGTTAAGATGCACTAGGTGGGTTGAGGGGAGGGCTGTCATCTCTGCACCTCTCCTCTGCCACCCCCACCCCATACCAGCCCCTGGAGCTTCTTAAATACAACTATTTTTTTGCCATACATCTGACTTCTGCCTGTTTTCTGGGGGAACCAGTTGGGTTTCTGGGCTGAGAGGCATGGGGTTGGTTAGTTCTGGTTCCCTGGAGAGGCCTGGGGAGTAGGGCAGGGTAGAGGCCCAGAGAGCCAAAAGGAGATTTCCAACTCACAAGATCAAAAGCAAGCACAGACATCTGGACACATCTTCTCATCACCTTGGCTTAGAATGCCATCTTGCTTTTGCGCCACGCCCCCTGTGAACCCCAGGTTAAGGTACTTCCCTTCTTAGGCCTCAGTTTTCTTATCTGTAGAGTGGAAATAATAATGATGGGGCATTTTGGTGACCCAATGAGTCCATGCATGTGAGCGCTTGGCACACTGCCTGCACACAGACTCCCTATTAGTGTTCACCATTTGTGCCTATCATTTGGCACGATCTTACAGGCTCTTCCTGGCTCAGAGTGGCAGTATACATAGTGGTTAAGACATGGGTTTTTGAGATATTGAGGCCTGTGTTAACATTTACAAATGGGCCTGGCACTGTGGCTCACGCCTGTAATCCCAGCACTTTGGGAGGCAAAGGCAAGAGACGTCTGAGACCAGCCTGGGCAATATGGTGAGACTTCATCTCTACAATTAATCAAAAAATTAGCCGGGCATGGTAGTGCACACCTGTAGTTCCAGCTGCTTGGAAGGCTGAGGCGGAAGGATCCCCTGAGTCCAGCAGGTCAAGGCTGTATTGGCAGTGAGCATGCCACTGCACTCCAGCCTGGGTGACAGAATGAGACTCTAAAAAACAATTTTTTACAAATGATCTTGGGTCCATCTGTCCCCCTTGGCTTGTTTCCCCAAGTATAAAATGGAGATTAGTGGCCAGGCATGGTGGCTCGTGCCTGTAATCCCGGCACTCTGGGAGACCAAGGCCAGAGGATAACTTGAGCTCATAAGTTGGAGACCAGCCTAAGCAACATGGCAAGATTTCATCTCTACAGAAAGTTCAAAAAATTAGGGTGTGGTGGCACACACCTGTAGTCCCAGCTACTCGGGAGGCTGAGGTGGAAGGGTACCCTGAGCTTTGGAGGTTGAAGCTGCGGTGAGCTGAATGATCTGTGATGATGCCACTGTGCTCCAGCCCGGGCAACAGAGTGAGACTCCAACTCAAAAAATAAGACAAATAAAGTAAAATAAAATGGGGATAGTGATCCCCTTCTGTCAGGACTGCTGTAAAGACGAAATTAACGTTTATAAAGTGTTCAGCAGAGCTGGTGACATCTGATAATCCCTTTTCACATACTAGTTATTTTCCTGTTTTTGCTTCAGAGAGGAAAGGGTCCGGCTGAGACCTTTAACCTCCCCCCTCCCCCCCCCCCCCCAC